GAAACATAGTATAGTATTAATGACTGCTTTGAGAAACATAGTATAGTATTAATGACTGCTTTGAGAAACATAGTATAGTATTAATGACTGCTTTGAGAGAAATAGTTGTTTTTATACGCTCAAGGGAAGGTTACAATTGTGGTATTGCCCGAGGCGTGCCGAGGGCAATAGCACAATTGTAACCTTCCCGAGAGCGTATAAAAACAACTATTTCTTGAATATTAAAGCAGTCATTAATACCTTTATATACCGAAGAGTCAACTTACCAATCAAGTGGTAGAACAGGTAGAACTCCGTAACTCGACTGGTAGAACAGGTAGAACTCCGTAGAAAATAACTCAACTGGTAGAATTCCGTAGAAAATAACTCTATTTGTTAAAAATATTTACAGTACAGTTGTTGAAATGATATGTGGGGGCTTGCACCTGCTGACTAGTAGAAACATGGTCATGGCTACTTGTAGTGATGTTGCATGTGCGTGGGAAGTTCTCTGGGTTATTTGTGATCTCATTGAAAATGTCATTTAGTTCCCACAGTTCCTGGCTTTCACTACGCTGACCACCAGTAGATGTTGATGACGATGGTACTGATTTCGGATCAACAGCTGTCGCGATACCATGACTTATGTTTGATGACAATGGTACTGATTACGGATCAAGGGCTGCAGCGATAGCATGACTCATGTTTTCTTTTGCGGTACTGCTGGTCATAGCATAGTGTTTCAGACTGGTCTCCACCTTGTGTCCGGAGACACTCATGATCTCTCTGTCTCTAAAACCAGCATTTTGTAGGGTACTGATGCTGGTTGCCCTTAGGCAATGGTTGGTGTAAGCCTTGGTACCTGCACGAGATGAAATTGTTTTCATTTTGTCTCCGATGCTGTTTTTCCCTAGGGGTGCATTACAGTACCATTGATCAGAAGAAGATGGATTGGATTTCAACTCACGCTTGGCCTGTGCATTTGGCGGTCTCTGCCAAAAACTCTTACATTGTGGATTCAACTTATCTTTGTAGCGTAAGAAGGAGGCAACAGGACATCGTGGACCAATAGTTGGAATCATGACACCACCTTGGCTTTTCTCTGTTTATCTGGTTACAATTGAGGAAATGACGCTGAAGTCCGATTCTTATAGCTAACATTGACTTCTTCATGTAATAACTTCCGTTCTTCCGTCTAGCACCAGCGTAAAACTTTTGCAGTACATTGTTCAGCTCCGAATTTGAAAGCTTGTTTACGCTATCGAGGTCTGTGTTGATAACTTGCAGGAAGTCTTCGAATATTTTCATGGAGAATTTAACGGAATTTTTTGTGTTCTTGCTGTCAGCAGAGTCAATCAAGTCTCTCATTTGATCATCATCAAGAAGCTGAAATCTTGGGAGCATTTCTTCTGCCATTTTGGCCTAGTACAGTCGGTCGTCTGCGCTGGCCGCTACTAAGGAGTCGGGCTAACCCGCCCCACGGGACATCTCGCTCCAGCGAGATATCCTGACATGATTTATCGATCGAGAGATACCAGTAGTCTACTAATTTACGGCCAGGATGAAAGAATGTGAACAAACATCAGCCATCTCGTCCAAAATGTACAATGAGCACAAACATATACACATTGGTATCTCTCGATCGAGGAATCATGTCGGGACATCTCGCCCCAGTCTTTGATGCTGAGGCGAGATGTCCCGTGGGGCGAGTTAGCCTGGATTCGCTGCTAGTTGTATTACAAAATTGGTAAAATATAGCGACCAATTCTTCGCACACATACGGTATCCGCAATCGCTCAAACCATTTTTTAACATGTAAACGTATGGGTATTTTACCAAGACTGAACTATTTTCCCAGTAACCATGGTTACTGGGATTTTAGAACTATTTTTTGAACTATTACATGGGTTTGGAATTTTACCGGGAATTTTACAGGAATAGTTAAAGTTTATAAATGCAATTTCGACCAATCAGATGGCTGGATTTCTAAAGTGAGGTATATAATTGTATTTATACGCTCAAGGGAAGGTTACAATCGAGCTATTGCCCGAGGCTTGCCGAGGTCAATAGCTCGATTGTAACCTTCCTGAAAGCGTATAAAACCAACTATGTTTAGAAATTAAAGCAGTCATTAATACTTTTATATACCGAAAAGGGTCATAGAATACATGTGCGACTTACCAATCATGGTAATCAAGTTTGTTTCGCAATCGAGACAGCAGACAGTGTAAGGGCACAAGGTACATACAAATACGTGTGTGGGACTATGAACGGGCTGGATTTTTTTGTGTTACTGAAATGTGCTCAGAATTCAAGTAATTCATCTATTAAATGACTATAACAGACAAGAAACAAGTCAAAGGTAAGGACAAGAATCAGTGCTTATCAATATAACAGAAATTTTGCATGAAATACTATCAGGAAAGCTAACTAAATTTGTCAGAAATTAGCGACAAACACACGAAATTCAGCGATGAAATGAGGCACAAAATGGCGTAGAATTCAACTTTTCATCCACCAAATGAATTCAAACACTTGCATTATACAATCTTCAATACCTGTATCACCGTTATCGCATGCAATAAAATCACAATCTACATCTAGACCTAGATCTACGGCTAAAAACAAAACGTAGGGCCTACCCTCTTGGTGTTCTTGCTGTCTAGCGACCAATTCTTCGCACACACACAATGTATGGTATCCGCGATAGCTCAAACCAGTTTTTAAGCAAGACTGAACTATTCCCGGTAACTTGAATTTTACCCTTACATGGGCGTGGCATTTTTTATTTATTTACGGGAATGGCTAAAACCATGAGTGCAATTTCGACCAATCAGATGGCTGGATTTCTTAAGTGAGGTATCATGAAGTATGCTGCCTGATTATTTACAATGACATATTGTTTATGATCTGATAAGTAACTTTTAAATAAATCCAAAAGAATGCCATGTATAACGTAAAACTCAATATTTGGTTAATAAAATGGAATGATTTAAAGTATCAAAATGCCTTGCTTAAGTCAAGAAACAGTCCAATTGTTTTGTCTTTAAGTGTCCATGAACTATATTCATTCAATCAACTACATGTAATGCAGAAGTGTAAACCAGTATAACTAGGTAATTAGGGAAGATACCTGATTTAAGTGAAGGATTGAATATATTACATAATAGATAACAAATGATACGTATGACTTGTTTAATATCGATACATCAATTTCATCCAAACCAGAACTGGAGCTACTTTTGAATTGAGTTTCTTATTTTTAATCCAATTTTGATGAAACTTTTACATTATATTTCTTTGGGAGTTATTGGCAAGAAGAAGGCACATTTATAATTCCTCTTAAAGGTAAAGATTAGTATTGGAAACGCCCCAATTTCAAAAAATGAAATGGAAGCTCTCATTACCAATCATGTGAAAGAATATGTTTTGACTAATACATGATGATAAAAAATTTGCCGGGAAACCGCCTACTAATTGTACAGGAGGGGGGCTTCTAAGGCCCCCCTCCCTATGATCTCGTCCGTGAAACGACCGATCACCGCGAAAATGTGCATACATGTCAAGTGAAGTGTATAGAATACAATGATAATTTCAATTTTTTGAAAAATTCACTCATTTGCATATTTATGGTAATTTATGCAAATAAGGTCATAAAATTCACATTTTTGCCCATAAATCAGACATTATTCATATTTAACCATTCTTTTTCACTACATATATTTTTTAGACCATTTGGAATAATAATACAACACACAAAATTGAAAAACCAGGGTTATTCCTTATGTAATATATTGTTTTGATAATTTCTTATGTATTTCTTTGTTTTTTTAACTTATGTATATTATTGTTTTTGTTGTTTTATTTCATTTCCAACTATAATTCAACTATTTTGACCCCAAAATAAACACCTAAACTATAAACAAGACCAAATAACCAATGTTTTATCTCTTTATTTGAAAAATGAGATTTCCATATGTTTTGTACACAAATCACAAAAATGAGCGATTTTCGGGCTGACATTCAAAGACAAAAGGACACGTGACTTTGTAATGGCAGGTCCGATTTTTTAAAAATTTCTTTCAAAAGATGCGCAAGACTCAAAAGAAAAAAGTCACAAAATTTCAGTGCAAGATTTTCTTGAGTTAAAAAATAATCGCGAAAAATGTCAAGGGGGGGGGGCTTCTAAAGCCCCCCCCCCCCCCCGGGCTAGATAGGGTTAAGATATTGCATATAGTTGAATTGGATAAGTAAAGCAAAATTAAATAAGAAACTTATGGAATTGTAAGTTTTATAATTTCATGAAACAGTAATGTGTTAGGCTGTATGCAAATGGGCGAGTTGATGGCATTCCCTCATATCTCTCTATAGATTTTGTACATAAATTTAAGATAAAAGAAGACTGTGGATGCAAAACATTTCCTACAGCTCAATGAAATATGTGGAAAATCACTGTTACTGTAACTTATTGTAATATAAATGGAAATATTCATACAGGTGTGTCCTAGAAAGAAAAACTTGAAATTTCATAAACAAAATGTATGGGGATTAGTGAGGGGATGACATAATCAACTTGCTATTTTGCATACTTACAGCCTATGTGATACATAATCACTACCAGTATCTAATAACATTTTACAAAACTTTCAAATTCCATACCTTTTTTTTTCCGTCTAATTTTTATGAAACTTTTACCATTTTGTTTGTTTGATTTTTCTATATTTATTTAATTCAACTCGCAAATGGGCTGGAATTGCAAAATCCAAATCATCTTTATTTTTTTCCCTGGTGGCCCCAGTGAATCAGGCTACTATATAACCTTGATCTTCACTACATGTACGTTTGCCCTATATCATCTGACTTGTGTGTTATACTAGATCTTATTCTATTGTGCCAGATATAAGTTTGTCTAATCTCCAAATCTATGGCTTTTTTTTCTATTCCATGAAGTTTAAAGTTCTTTTGCCATGTACAGTGTATTGCATCACTATTGTGAATGAAAACATTTTTTTCTATTACAGCTGTTACAGCATGAGAGTGCAGATGAACTGATGATAGTGGCTTCTTCAACACTGTGTAATCTACTCCTGGAATTCTCACCCAGCAAAGATGTGAGTTTCATTCTTTAGGAACAAAAGGCTCTTTTGTCTCCAATAGCCAATTTGGGATATTACTTTGTAGACCATGGGCCAAGTATTGAATATCTCTCTATTTCTTCATTTTTGTGACCCACCTCTGGAAACTACCCAATTTTTTGTCTGAGGGGAGATAAAAATTCATAGAATAAGAATCTATAACTCGGCAAAGCCTTAAGTTGCACACTAATTAGGATTCATAATTAATGGAAATTAAGCATATCAACAGCGCCCTTTACGTCAATAAAATGATAAATATGTACAAACGTATGGGGATAAGGTAACTGACTACCGTAATTAATGTTGTATAAACCGCCCTTGTGTATTAACCACGCCCCTCTTTTTCGCCCTCAAAAAAAAAAGAAAAGAAAAGCAAGCCAGGTCCGTGTTTAAAAAACCCATGCAGGAAGGCCTTTCATTTAACTGCGAGGTACAGTTGAATGTGTAAGATCTTTAATGTAAATTAAAAAACAGGACCTAGGATAGAACCTTGTGGTACGCCGTGTGTAATAGAAGAAAAATTGGAGGAATTGTTATTATAAACTACATATTGAGATCTATCAGAAAGATTACTTTCAAACCAAGATGACAGACAAATTTGAGTGTTTTTATAGTTTCCGAGTGATGAGTCAACACACCGATAACTGAGCTGGGAGACATTGCCAGGCTTAACGCCAGGTGGAGGGGCATAAATTGAAACTTTAATTTTTTTTTTTTTTTTTTGTACCTGTGTATAAGATGCACCTCCGACTTTGAATTTTTTTCGGCGGCCAAAAATAAAAATAATATTACCCTTTGAAAACTATTTTTTGGGGGGCACGTGAGGGGGCCCGGCCCCTGGATACGCCCCTGTTATCATCATTATATTTATCATGCTTTATTTGCTGTTATGAACTGCTAGGATTATTCAGGCTGATTCAAAAACGGATTTCTACCTCTAATATCAATAATGTCACATTGTTTTAAACCCCCCCCCCCCACCATACTCCATTATTATCTTCTACTCATTTTCATATATTACATCTTGTGTCATCTTTTTTTGACATCACACTCACACCTGAAGCTTTCACTGACATTTCACTCACTCTCTGAACTGCATACTCATGATGCAATCATATTGCCTGTTAATGCATTAATAATTACCGGTACATGAAACAATGCAATAAATTCAAATCATATTCTTATTGTCACATGGAATTTTTGTAATATTGTCGACTCATGTACACCTTTTATTTTAACTATTTCAACTGCAACATTCTTCTTATCTTAGTATAATTTTTTGTTAGATGTTTGGAGCATCCAGATGTTTTTCTTAATTACAATCAAACAACCCCAGTAATAAAAAGTAGTAAGTTACAGTTGATACAAATATTGCTTGCTTACTCTGCTCGCTATAAGCTCTACAACATTTATGAAGTTCGATTGCAACATTCGATAGGCAGACAATTTGGCAGTGCTCACTTGTTCCTCAGGACTGGCCTCATTAAATTAACAACTTTTCGATTCATTGATTTTAATCTGAGTAGTCATATGATCCTGCAAAGGTGGATACAGATACTTATTGTATAGTGTACGGCCTTTAGCCGAAAAGTACCTAATTTAGGAATCACAAAACATGCTGAGACAAAGCACACAAAAAACAAACATGGTCAAAGGCGAAATTTTTTGAGCGTTTGCTTGCGAGAGTTAATTATATTAATATTCAAATAGGGGGTTCAAGTGACAGTATCCATAATAAAGCATTTAAAATGAATTAAACATAGAAATATCCCCCCTTTCATAGAATGGATTTATGCCACTAAATAAAATAGTATTCTTACACATCCTTGAGGCAGAAAAAATGGCCTATCAAACACGAAAACAAAACATACATATATAGGGTCAAATACAGATTACTTAATTATTACTTCATAACTGTCAATTATTAAGTTAAGTGTACATAAACATCAGGGCTCCGTCTTACAAAGAGTTACGATTGATCCAAATCAATCGCAAGTCCTCCAATCAATCGCAAGTTTGCAGTCTCCTATCTCTTATCTACATAGTTGCGATTGATATCAACTCTTTGTAAGACGGGCCCCTGGTCAATTAAAATAAAGATAAATCTTGTGATACTGCTTTACTAGTTATTCTTAAACTATGACATATGGATATAAAAATTCACCAGCAGAAGAAATGTGAAGATTCCAAGAAATTAGAATATGTGAAACAGTCTAATTCAATTCTTCGATAGGATACATATACAGTGTATATGTTGTAAATCATACAAGAAACTGGAAATGGTAAATGACAATACATAACTTTATGTGGTTCTGGCTGTTGATGTCACAGCCGATTCCCATAACTTTTGAATTTAAATAATAATTCAGAGATTTTGTTAAAAGACGAAGTAATTACATGCATAGTATTAATTAACACCTACCATTGTGTAAGATAACATAGTAAATGAATCTACAGTGGAAACTCAGTATAAAGAGATCTGATATAACAATATTCCTCATATAACAAGGTAATATTCCGGTCCCATTACTCTATATTCTTTTGTTTCTTAACCTGATATAACGAGATTCCTGGTACTTTTGTGGTCTCAAGGACCTTGTTATACTGAGTTTCCTTTATATATCCATCGCTTTCTGAAATTCTGATACAGGTGTAATGAGTAAGTTAGACACCACAATTATATTTTGATTTCATGGAAGAAATGTCCTTCCTTGTGCAAGACATTTCCTGTCAAGACACCCATATCAGTTGCAAACGTACAACAAATATATAATACAGTGTACAAGCCCTTCAATATTTAGACACTATTCTTCAATGATTTGTAATATTGATATGATATACTTCTGGTTTGTTGTCTCAAATTAATTTGACTGCTGTCTAAAGAAAACTTCAAATCAAATGAGACACAAATATGCACATGAATTGAATACAACCTATTGCGCTAACAAGATGAATTCTACACGTCTTCATCTTCAGTGTCTGTGTCTTCATCTAAGGATGTGCCATCAACTGGATTTTCACAATCAGTTTACTGGCACAGAACGGTGCATGGCACATTAAGACTGATGTGAGAGTAGAAACTGAGACCAACTCCATTTGATAGAGAAGCAAGGTTGTAGAATATGTGAGAGATAGGATGAGGCTGATATGAGAGTAGAAACTGAGACCAACTCCATTTGATAGAGAAGCAAAGTTGTAGAATATGTGAGAGATAGGATAAGACTGATGTGAGAGTAGAAACTGAGACCACCTCCATTTGATAGATCGAGGAGCAAGGTCTCAGTTATAGAATGAATATGTGTGAGAGATAGGATAAGACTGATGTGAGAGTAGAAACTGAGACCCTCTTCATTTGATAGAGAAGCAAGGTTGTAGAATATGTGAGAGATAGGATGAGGCTGATGTGAGATTAGAAACTGAGACCAACTCCATTTGATAGAGAAGCAAAGTTGTATAATATGTGAGAGATAGGATAAGACTGATGTGAGAGTAGAAACTGATACCTCCTCCATTTGATAGAGAAGCAAGGTCTCAGTTGTAGAATATTTGAGAGATGGGCAAAGACTGATGGGGTATGAGTAAACTGCTAAGGGAAGGGGGTTGCTCTCCCCAGACAATATCTGTTCCTCCATCGTCCACTTTCCAACCATGACCTGGAATGTCAGGGGTCTGCTATAGACAATATTTATGTTCTGCGGCCTGATAATTAGCTCTCCTTTGTTGGTGGGAGACATGCTTCTGACTTTAATAATCAACATGAAAAAACAAGTAGTATCTTATACAGTAGGCTTGCGGGTGCACCATGTGAGAGAGAGAGAGAGAGAGAGAGGGTTGAGGAGTCCTGAAAAGGACTCTGACTCGGTAATCTTTCTTGGGGTTGTGTAGTCCTGAAAAGGACTGTTGTTATCTTTCTTAGCATATAGTTCTAAGGAGAACTATAGCGCTTGGAGAGGATGAGTGGCTCGACGTTTCGAACAGGTGGACTATCCGTCGTCAGGAGTTGTACCTTATTGACACTGTCACATTCTTGTCCATACAACTGGCAAACAAATCTCTCCAGTCCAGAGAAAGCATCCTTCCCTACTGTGAATGAGCTACCTAGCTGCCGGAATTTGACTTTGAATTGTGCACTTTCTGCCATCAACTTATTGTATCCCCCGGCAGTATGCCGGTGGGGTACTTTGAATTTAGCAGAGTTACGCCGCCGCCGCGTCATATTCTTGTGTGCAATCTAACTGCCACATTCCTTGACGGATTTCTTTCAAATTTTGTATGGAAGTGTATCATGGTATAATCTCAAGACCTACAACTTTTGGTGAAGCTGCCCCCAGTGTTTCATCTTCTATAGGTTAAAAGGCCATATTTTTGTGGATGGTTTGTGTGCGCTCTATAGGCCACATTTTTAAAGGGATTTTGTTCAAATTTCGAACGAAGGTGTATCTTGGTATAATCTACAAGCCTATAGATTTTAGTGATGCTGCCTCCAATGTTCCGTCTTTTATAGGGTCAAAGGTCATATTTTGATAGATGTCTTGTGTGCACTCTAGTGTGCCCTCTAACTGCCACATTTCTTGACGGATTTCTTTCAAATTTTGTATGGAGGTGTATCCTGGTATAATCTACATACCTATAACTTTTGGTGATGCTGCCCCCAGTGTTCCGTCTTCTATAGGGTACAAGGCCATATTTTTGTGGATGGTTTGTGTGCGCTCTATGGGCCACATTTTTAAAGGGATTTTGTTCAAATTTTGAACGAAGGTGTATCTTGGTATAGTCTACAAGCCTATAGATTTTAGTGATGCTGCCTCCAATGTTCCGTCTTTTATAGGGTCAAAGGTCATATTTTGATAGATGTCTTGTGTGCACTCTAGTGTGCGCTCTAACTGCCACATTTCTTGACGGATTCCTTTCAAATTTTGTATGGAGGTGTATCCTGGTATAATCTACATACCTATAACTTTTGGTGATGCTACCCCCAGTGTTCCGCCTTCTATAGGGTACAAGGCCATATTTTTGTTTGTGTGCGCTCTATAGGCCACATTTCTAAAGGGATTTTGTTCAAATTTTGAACAAAGGTGTATCTTGGTATAATCTACAAGCCTATAGATTTTAGTGATGCTGCTTGTATTAAGGTTCATTATAGTTTACTCTAGACCTCCACAAATTTGGTGCTGCTACCCCCCAGTATTCCATCTCTTATAGGGTCAAAGGTCATATTTAAAGGAATATCTTGTGTCGCTATGCAAATCACATTTCTTTCAAATTTTCTATAAATATGCATCATAATCTGATCTACACACCTATTGTTTTGGTGATGCTGCTCCTAGTCTTGACAATAGTCTGAGCCATTTGCGGCAATCTCTACGTCATCCTTTTGTTTTACAAAGAGGAGAGGGAATCTTTGTCCCTCCTTCCACATAAGGATAACACAAAATCGCTGCCACTGCCGGGGGATACATTCGCATTGCGCGGCAATACAGATTGCGATATTTCTAGTTAATTATGGTAATTTATGCAAATTTATTCCAAAAATAACAAAAATTGCTTCTTCTCCCTCATTTTGTGATCGATTTTGATTTGGTTTGCCTTATCTGGTAGAGCTAAATTTGGAACACTAAACTTCAACACAGAATTTTGAAATTGTTCTCCATTAATTAATTATGGTAATTTATGCATATTTATTCCAAAAATAACAAAAATTGCTTCTTCTCCCTCATTTCTTGACCGATTTTGATTTGGTTTGCCTTATCTGGTAGAGCTAAATTTGGAACACTAAACTTCTACACAGAATTTTGAGATTTTGCTCCATTAATTAATTATGGTAATTTATGCATATTTATTCCAAAGATAACAAAAATTGCTTCTTCTCCCTCATTTCTTGACCGATTTTGATTTGGTTTGCCTTATCTGGTAGAGCTAAATTTGGAACACTAAACTTCTACACAGAATTTTGAGATTTTGCTCCATTGATTAATTATGGTAATTTATGCAAATTTGTTCCAAAAATCATTTAAAAATAAAAAAAAATGCTTCTTCTCCTTCATATTTCGACCGATTTTGATTTGGTTTGCTTTACATTAAATCGTAGAGCTAACTTTGGTACTTAAACTTCTACAGAGAATTTTGAAATTGTTCTCCATTAATTAATTATGGTAATTTATGCAAATTTGTTCCAAAAATCATTTAAAAATAAAAAAAAATGCTTCTTCTCCTTCATATTTCGACCGATTTTGATTTGGTTTGCTTTACATTAAATCGTAGAGCTAACTTTGGTACTTAAACTTCTACAGAGAATTTTGAAATTGTTCTCCATTAATTAATTATGGTAATTTATGCAAATTTATTCCAAAAATAACAAAAATTCCATTTCCTTTAGTTTCTATTTACATTTCCATTTCCTTTAGTTTCTATTTAATCTTGTACAGCTAAATGAAATTATGTTCCTTCCAGGGCATCAAATTTTTATTTTTTGACCAGTTCAAAAGTGTACCACATAAAATTTACAATATTTGTTGTTGCGAGATGCGGATGAGCGCTACGCCATTGACGTTCTGGTTATCTTTAGGCTCTGCCCTTGTGTACCATAATATCTTACCCCTCATATGATATTAATAATAGATTTGCCTGTAGATGGATAATAATGATACTTGCAAATAATAAACATAAAACCAAGTACCGGGTACTATACAATTCAAAGTCTTTTGTTTAATTTCATCTTTTGAATATCGATCACTAGAGCAGTATGAAAGAAACATATAGAGAAACCTGCAGATGTGTGACTTTACTTTGATAACTACAACCCACCTTATTGTTTTTTTTTCTTGGCAGAAAATTGTTCAAGCAGGGGCAATTGACATTCTGTGCAATCTGACCACCAACTCTAATGCCCCTCTACGTCTTAATGGCATCTGGGGACTGATGAACATGGCATTCCAAGCAGATGAGAGTATTAAGACAAATATTTTGGAAAAGATGGGCACGGATCAGCTGTTTCGACTGCTTATTGACACTAATGTTGACATCCTGATGAAGACTCTAGGGCTGCTAAGAAACCTCTTGTCAACCAGACTGGTGAGTTCACTCTCAATGATTCTGTAGTGACTGGAGCATGCAGAGCATTTTACTTATTTTTTTAGAGTGATATTTTGTAACAAATTCTGTTTATGCTAAATATACTACTCATTGCGGATATAGTATCTAAAATAGTATCGCAAGGGATATTCGTTCGTCTCGCAATGTACGGTCAACAAGGGATCAGAAGATCACGATTTGTGCGCCGCTGCAACACTTAGTCGTGGTCGAGTGGTTTAAGGCGCTTGACTGGAGATGCAAAGGTCGAGGGTTCGAATCCCGACACGGCACTAATATTCTTTGGCAAGATATTAACCTGCACTTGCTAATCTCCACCCAGGTGTTAGATGTGTACCCAGTAGGATGCGACTGTCATTGTTGGTCAAACAGTTTTTGAGCATCAAGTAACGCCTGGCTGGAATGCTCCCTCCTATAAACTAGTACAGATAAGCTTTAATGAAATGCCCTTTCGAATGATACCAAATAAGGTATATGTTTACATAGAAAGTTTTGAGTAAATCGCAATTGAAGAAAGTTGGTTCCAACCTAATATACTGATAAATGTGTGGAGGTGATTTGAATTCGGGTGAGAGCGTGTGTTTTGGCATGTTCTTCATCTAGCCAAATCCCATTCGTCTTTCACATAGTGCTACAGACATCATACATATTGCTATAGATATCTTCAATCTGTATCAAGATCGGTGACAGCAAATACGTACGTCATTGCATGCATATCATTATAACACGATTGCAGTTCTAGTAATTAATATTAGTTGTGTTGTTATTGTAAAACCTCTTTCAAGTATGTATTTTTTTGTTTTTCAACTCTCTTGTTTACATTGTCTTATATGAAGACATCTATATTTACTCCTGTACTTTACACATTTTTTCCCCCTTGTTAGCACATAGATAACATCATGCTGACACACAGCTCACAGATCATGACAGCTGTCATCATGATCTTAGAAGGCAACCATCCGCCCCAGGTCAAGGAGCAGGTACGCTTACCAATCACTCTTAATCCACCCTCACATCAAGTTAGTTTTTAACAAAAGCAGAAAATGAGAGAAGTATATCACTAGAAGTTTCAGGAAGGTCCAATGAAGTTATAAATTTGTTAAGTTGTATTTTATCAAACACATCATGTCAATTCTGTAGTTTCAGATGCTGGCAGCTCTTAACATGTTCACTGTCTATGCAAAAACAAGATGTGTGTCTTCCTGGATATTCATGAAGATGAAATACACATATGTCTAGTATTGTGTCCAAGGCTCTCAAGAGTTGTATTTTTCAAAGTGGCTGAATGCAGGGTGATTCACAGAGATGATGACTTGTTTTTTATCAAAATAACTTCACAGTAAGTCCAATCTAATATTAACTTGGTTTTAATAGAAGCAGAAAAATAAGAGAAACAGATCAGTGAAAGTTTAAGGAAAATCTAGTTATACAATAACAAAGCTATGACATTTTTTTCCTTTTTAAACTATTAAAATTAAATTGGCAACTCAATGATGTATATAATGAGGACGCCTTCCACTTTGTACTAAAAATCATAAATTTCCATCTCCAAAGAAAATATTTATTTTACACATGCATCCTAAATATAGTTTTTGAATGCATTGTGTCTTTACTCAACTTTGAGATAGATCTGATTCTTCATCATACCCCCAAAAAAGACATTTATGAAAATGTCAGTACAAAGCAAATGAGAGAGATGTTTGAAAGATCAAAGGATCATACATGTATATGAAAATAGCTTGCAATCACAATGATCTGAGAACCTGTTAATGGATTACAATCAAACTTGAATTTTTAATAGTTACTTTTGTTTTGGTTTGTAAAATCATTTTATGGCAGAGGCATCATTTTCGCATCAGTTTCTCATTGGATTTTCCACAAACTTTCACTAATCTGTATCACTTATTTGCTCTTTAAAAACCAACTTGACATCAAGGTAGACTTGCCTTTTTAACTGATTCTTTCCTCTCATATTTGTATTTTTTGATTGAAACCAACTTGATTTCAAGTCTTCTGTATGATGTTGGAGAGTTTTAGAGGGAAAAAAAATTCATGGGAATTCCAGTTAAGTTTTGCTAATATTGATACTAATTATGACAAACTTTTCAAGAACAAGATTATTTCAAATTAATTTATCCATTAGGAACAGATATTATCATTAATTTCTGTTCTGCAATCTGCATACGTGTATTTTGTAATATTTTTTAGTGCCTCCGAAATAAGATTGTCATTCCATTCCAAAAATACACTTTCAACTTTTTTGAAAAAACATTGCAATCTTTGTATGTATTTTTGTGTGCATAACTCAAGATTACTGTCCCTTCAAAGTAAATGTACTTGAATTATGCACAAATTAACTCAACCATGAATCTATCCATCACTTTAATATTGTATATCAGGGCCCGTATTCAATAAACTTCTAAGACATTTTTCTTAAGTCTAAGAAAATGTCTAAGAATTTATTTAGGTTAAGAAAGCTGCCTCAGCCGTATTCAATAAACTTCTAAGACATTTTTCTTAAGTCTAAGAAAATGTCTAAGAATTTGTCTAGGTTAAGAAAGCTGCCTCAGCCGTATTCTAAACACGTAAAGCAGTTTGTCTTAGCTAAGACGAAAGATAAGACAAATTCTTAGACCCGATGACGTCATGTTGGAAAGTTAATGTGGTCGACTCAAGTGAATTAATTGCAACTCAATTTGCCTATGTAATTTGCGTGTTAAAATAAAAATCGCACCGCACGAAAATTATACGCTAACATGTATGGGAGATAGAGCGTAAGGGAGGAGGAACAATGCTCACATATTTGTTTCGGACTTGACCAACTGACACTAAAACAGTCTAGTCAAGACCCCCCTGAGGCTAGATCTAACATCCACTGTAGGTTTTTTAAAATTTTTCTGTCAAACATCTTCGAAGAACCCAACCGGGCTTACTTATGTCGCAGCCGCAGGGTCTGTGAGTATGAAGGGAGCGCCGTCACTAGCCGGCCGACCAGCGCTAGCATTGGATTTGGAGCTACCCTTTGTATTTACATCGTCTACTGTTATGCTAGCCTAAAATTAATCAAATCATGGCTAGATGTAACCTTTATCAGACTCATAATGTAACAAATTTTGTCTCACCTAATATTATGCCTATTGCACATTATTCCCTGTTTCCATATTTTAGCGCCAATACGACAGCCATGTCATAATTTAGTGTTATGTAGATGCTGGTACTCGTTTAGCTTAGTTGTACTTTGTGTACAAACAAACATAAACAAGTACAGTGCCTTTATATGGCGCTCCTGCGCGCTGCGCCGTCGACGCGCACGCGAAGCTTACGTTGATATATAGGTCACCTAATAACCTGCGCTCGCGCTGCATGCTTTGTTTTTATTCCATTTGATCGAAACCCGAAGCGGTTGCTTGCAGCAGCTGCACTGAGCTGCCGGTGCCAAAGCCCCATTTAAGTATCCTCGTAGTATGCTTAAATATAGGGTAGATTTCTTACTTATCTTAGATATCTCGATTGTATTAGAATATGACATGCTATTTAAGCCTTTTTTTCTTAGATAAAATCTAAGAATCCTTCTTAATCTTAAGGCAAATTTCTTAGTCCCCAATACTGTTATAGAATACGATTTTTGGCTAAGATTTTTTCTTAGCCAAAATTTAAGAAAAAGTACTTAGATTTCATGCTTAAGAAGTTTATTGAATACGGGCCCAGACAACTGGGAACTGGGGTAGAGAAGATGAGTTCACTTTTTCTGATTAAATACCTGAAAACCTTGAGCTTCCGGGGCTCAGCCCCTGAACCCCACTCCAATATACGCTCCACTCGCTAAGCTCTACCTGATCGTTGTGGCTTCACTTTGAAAAATGTTCCATGTGGCCTGCATGTAACATGTAAGAGTGGTGGTGATGCAGTTTTTTCTTCTATCCCCCCCCCCCACCAAAAAAAAGTTTTTGCTCATTACGCCACTGCCCCTGGAATGTTTGCCCCCCCCCCCATCCCAATGTTTCCTGGCACTTGCACTTGCTATCATCCTCGTCTGATGACGAGGAAGATGATTTTGTTGTTGAAGAGATTCCTCTTTCGTAACTTTTTCTTTTTCTTTGTCACTTCTTTTTTCTGTGTTTCCCCCAACCCTTGTGTATCATTTTGGTCTTCTGTCTAATCTTGACTTACTCTTTGTAGGGGGTTCTTGTGAGTTCACATGCTGTACCAGTAGGTCCACGTCCTTTCTTTGACGTGCTTCTCTCATCTTGGTGTAGCTTGGGGGGGGGGGATGCTATGTCAGATGGATTTGGTGAAGCACATATCAAGACATGTGAACCCAGATGACATTGATGACGAACAAAGGATTGTCTGATTGGCTGGTTGTCCTTTACTAGAACATCCTGTGGTTGATGCCTTCTTATCTACTGGCACATCAGCATGTGAGGATCCAGATGATGTATGTGTAGATGATACATCAACAAGTTGGTCATTCACCGGTTTCATATTGGAAGGCACTACAGCCAAGGCTCTAGTAACTTGTGGCACATCAGGGTGTGCAAATCCAGAGGTAGTTTGCCCAGAGGATAATCCAACACGTTCATCATTTCCTAGTGGCACATGGGAAGGTCCTGTCGCTGAAGCTTTATTGTATGATAGTAGGACATCAGATCCTGTGAATCCAGATGATGATGGCAAGTCAACAACTGAGTATTGGTTAGTGGTATAGTGGAAGCTCCTGCCCTTGGCGTTGTTCACTGATATTTCAGATTGTTAAGATGTCCATGGCTATTGCACAGGTACGTTGTTGTGTGGTGATGAAGTGATATAATCTACTGTCCCTGGCAGATCTCTGTCTGTCACATTTGCTGGAGCGAAATTATGCTCATTGAAGGCTGTCAACAGTTACTATTCCTGTTTTCTTGAAGCCAGTTGCAGTTATAAGTGCTTATGCTGCTCTCAGGTACACATTCGTAAAATCCATGCACCTAAAGTTTGGGGTGAGGCTGCCACCAGTGTCCCGTGTTTTATAGGGTCAAAAGGTCATATTATGCAGGATGGCATGAGTGCACTCTGCACACCCCATTTCTTGATGAATTTCTTTCAAATTTTGTATAGAGATGAATCTTGGTACAATCTACACATCTTAACTTTTTGGTGATGCTGCCCTCATTGTCGTTTGTCCCTTTTGTCACTCTTACTGCCACATTTCTTGAAGTAGTTCTTACAAAATTTGTATGGAGGTGTATCTTGATCAAATGTACACATCTTTAGTGTTTTGGTGATGCTGCCACCTGTCTTCGTCTATTATAGGGTCAAAGGTCATATTTTGTGGGTGTTTAGTGTGTGCTCTTCAGGTCATATTCAAAACAGATTTCTTTCAAATTTTGTATGGAGATGTATCTTGGTACAATCTATACTTTTGGGCGATGCTGCCCTCATTGTCTCGTCTTTTACATGGTCAAAGGTCATATGTCCCTTTTGTCACTCTAACTGCCATATTTCTTGACAGATTTCTTTCAAATTTTCTACAGACATGCATTATACTCTAATCTACACATTTATTGTTTTAGTGATGCTGCTCCTAGTCTTGACCATAGTCTGAGCCACTAGTGGCGATCTCTACCTCATCCTTTTGTTTTAGGGAGGTGAGAGAGAATCTTTGTCCCTCCTTCGAACATAAGGATGACACAAAAATCACTGCCACTGCAATTCGCATTGCGCTGCAGCAATATTTCTAGTTACCATTCCCATTCTATTCCCTTTCCTATACTTTTTCTCTTTCCAATTCAAATTCTTATTTTTCTCCTTATTCCTATACCTTATATCCTATCGTAATATCCTTATTTTTATAATTGCTATTACAATATATTTTCTTGTATTCTCAGACACTATGCATACTTGCTAATATAGCAGATGGGACATCAGCCAAAGAGGTAATCATGTCCAATGAAGATATCCTCAAGAAACTCACATGCTACATGGTGAGTACTGATTTTAATGTTCAGTTGTGTACCCTTACTTTTTGTGTTTAAAAATATTTTAAAATTATTATTATCACCTAGCCCTTAACTTCTGACTGATGTGATGACTGTGTAGAGTGACAACATGCATGAAGATAATGTAGCTCTTGGGTGATAACTGTGTCTGTTTTTTTTTTTTGGGGGGGGGGGGGGGGGGGAGCAATCTTAAATGCCAAACATATCATTTTATGCATTTTGCAAGGATCAAAATGCATCCAGTTGCCAGTTTGGTCTTTTCAGTACGCAATTCTGAATTTATTAAACTTGCCATTTTTATTTTTCTATGTCAAAAAGCCCATCTGTACTAGTTTACAGGAGGGATTAGACCACCCTGCAATGTCACTGGACAGGTGGTTATCTCATCAAATCAGCTCTCGGTTAAGATAAAGAGGATCATGGGGACCAATGGTCAGCTATTAGGCATTGTTTGCTATATCGAGGGCGCAAGTAGCTATAAGTAGTGCAGTGCGGATTTAAAAGGTGCTGTATTTCAAAGCCAAAAATAATTTCTGTGTTGGTCTTGATATTCATTGTACATTAAACTAGTCTTTTACCATATTAAAGTGTTTTTATAGACTTTGTTTGTTTAAATGCTTGACATCCTAATTATTTTTGATTTTTTTTATGGAAAAATATTTATAAAAAAGAAAAAATGGGGAAAAGAAAAAAATCACAAAAAGACACACACAAAATGAAATCCAAAAAGAAAAACAAATCTGCCCTCCCACCCCTACTCCAGAAAAGCAATCGAGGACAACCAAATAATTTGATTTTTTTTTGGCCTTAGTATATTTTTGTTTAGGGAAAAATTCATTCTCAAAATTTCCAAACAGAACTAAAAAATATAAAACTCACCAGAACTCACTCAAAATTTGCACCTTAGTCACAATTGGCGACACCTTCCTAAAAGCAGGCACGTAGCCAGGGGGGGGGGGGGGGGGCACGAATTTCCAAGATCGGTTGAACTTTTTTAGACCCCTCCCCAGGACATACATGTATGTGCCCCCCCCCCCCCCCAAACATCAAACTCTGGCTACGGGTCTGCCTAAAAGGCAGTAAATAAAATCAATTCAACTCACCAATGTTGGAAAAAATGCTTTGAAAATTTAAATCAGAAATCTATTGTCAATCCTGACGAAGAGCCGTCTTATATTCACATGTGTGCATTTATTGGTCACTGCGCGCCCTGAATCTCCATGTTAACTCGATGTAAACAAATTCACTCAGAAAAAACTATCCATACTTTACCGTGTCGTGCATACATCAAAGCCGGTTAATTTTTGTGGGTGCGAAACAAACTTAAGGGACTTGCTGGAATATCAGGAAATTATTCTCACTGCCCATCCCAAATTCACAAGGTCATGGGGTGCAAAAAGATGGGTTAGCATTAGCGCCCTCCCCTCCTAACTGTATTTATGATGTCACTTATCACTGTCTTCCAACCTTCTTCACTATCTGTTTCATCTCCACCCCCCTTCTCTCTCTCTCTCTCAATCAATTTGTTACACCCTCCTCTCTCCCACTTTTTGTCAGCCTGAATGGCTGACAAAAAGTCACAAAAGGTCATGAATTCACAAAGGTATATCAGATTGTTGCAAATTTTGAGTCAAATATATGTATGACTTAAAAAAGAAGAAAAAAGCTTGAAAGTGTTGTAAAGAGAAAGCAAAATACCTCATTGCTAATCAGTATTTGTGTATGGTATATATGTATGCAGAGACATGACAATGTGAGGCTTCAGATAGCATCAGTGTACTGCATCAACAATCTAGTATGGAATCAAGAGGATGGAGCTACAGAGAGGCAGTCCAAACTCAAGGAATATGGGGTACAGAAACAGCTACAGTCCTTGCTCAGTGCCAGCGATACTGTTCTATTTGACAAGTAAGTAAGCTTTACAATGAATGATAATGATAAGAAAAATAATAATAATGATGATATTTAATAATAATAGTAATAATAATAATAATTATGATAACACTAATAGTGTGTTTTTAAAAAAACTTTCAATTTAGTCAGACCGCAGCGCATATGCTAATGAGGCTTACATTGAAGATTTATTTGGCGTCTCATTCGCAGGCTAGACTGATATACGTGCTCTTGACTTTTACAGCATCGCGCTTTCTTGTTGATAGAGAGCATTATCTTTGGTTTTCATGGCGGAATGCAATAACTTCAAATTCTTTAGAATTTCTATACCTAATCCCTAATGTTTAAAGGGATCCGGTAACTTTGTCTTAGATTCTGAAACAAAATTCTGGATTTAGTTCATGCTGCAATGATAATTATAAACCTTTAGGTCAATCAGGAACCCCATGACTTTTACAAGCCAAGCGCCTGTCTGATTTTAAATCAAGATATTTATGATTGGAATTACAAATTTTGAAAACCGTTTGCAAAACGGTTTTCATAACACTACAGTCTATTGGGGAAAATGAGTATGGTAAAACCGGTCACTCAAAGATTTTTTACTTTTTTGAGGCACTTCTTGATCATTTTGAAGCGCAATAATTTTAGGACTTCAATATTACACCATTTCACAGACACTGATAACAAGTAAGGACGTGTATCTCAGATTAAACATTGTTAAACGATCCCTTTAAATTATTATTTTCACAATCACAATTGACTGTAATTTTGCTACTTATTCATCAGCAATTTTGCATAGTGAATAGAGTTTGTGGTACCTGACCCAGCTACAAAAGCAAATTGTTTATTTTGAATGGTTTACCAGAGAAATACAAAATATGTCAACTTGAAGTTGATGCAAAGTAATTCTTGGACATTTTTTAATACGAATTTAGCCTAAAAATTCCAAAATATTTAAATTAAACACAATTCTAAGCTGGCCGGTGCAATAATATGGCTATTGCACAAAGTTTGGTTTATATCAGGACCCGCTGGCTCTGTAAGGGGCGGTATTCTAAAAACTGTTATATCTGTATATTTTTGTATCCTTACCTGATCTTAACCACTACAAAAATATTGAAATTTTGAGTAACTTTTCTGTCACAAGCATTTTCCTCTCATAGGTCCTCACCCAGCACGCGGTCAAAAGTAGGGCCCGTATGGCCCGTAGGCCCCGTACTGTGCATAAAATTTAATTTGAGGCACGTACCCCTGGTTTACATTATAATTGGCACTGGAAGATCATATCATGAGATCTTGTACAAAGTCTCCACTATTTCAAATTGTTTATATCTAAGACTGTCAGGTTTTTCTTGGTTCCTGACCCCAGCTACGCCATATCATCTCAGGATTTTGATACCAATAAAAAGATCAAAATCTACTCGTTCTACAGATGACAATTTTATGTTAATGCAAAAGTAATTTAATGGTAAAAATTAACACTGAAGTGCAAAGAAAATGAATCTCTTTTTGTCAATACCCAATCTTAAATATATCTATTCTGAAACCGTTGTGGAAATGATGTTTGTGCATTGGAAAAGAAACCTCAGAATCTTATCTTTAAGATGAGACCAAAATCATGCTAAATGGATCAAAATCAAAGATCATAACAACTCCATGCATTGATCATCAATTGTTTATGAATACAAATGAATTAATGGACATGTATTGACGAATTGCCAAACTCCCACAGTGCAGAAGTGCCTGGAAATATATTTTTCCCAATTTATCTTAATAATGGTTTTTATTTGTACTTAATACTATTATTTATTTTTTTCTGGTTTTTGTAAGTATTTCTGTTTTATGTGCATTGTGTCTTGCACTTTTTAAATGCACTTTTAAAATGAAATACTGATTGTATATTTAATAGGTATACATAAATGTAATTGTACAGTGCTCAGTCATGGTTGGACCTTTATTCACAAGAAAGCCTTTTTATCATTGACAGGGTCAAGATGGCATTGCAGCAGTTTTCATCATGATGGATTCACTTACTGTATTCCAACCCTAATGAGATGAGAGTCCAACTATCTTGGGTATCATTGCTGAAACGATAGATGAAGGACACATGACTGTTACAGTTTGTTAGGATCATGTTCTGAGTATGGTTGGCACTTTAATACTCTGTACTAAACTTGAATTGGAAGATTATCTAGGGTATTTAGAGCCAATAATGAACATCTCTCCTCAAAGCTGTGTAAAAACTACCTGAAGAAAACGAGAAAGGAGTCATGAAAAACAGTCCCGTGATCTGAATCTGCTAGAGCTGCTATGGGAAGAGCTAGATTTGAGAAAATGCCAACAAATGAATCCCATCTGACGGAGATTCTTCAAAAGGCATGGAAAGACATATCCAGTAATTACCTCCAGAAGCTGACCAGTCAGATGACAAGAGTGTGCCCTACTGTGATAGCTGTCAGGGGTGGGATTCTTTGAGGAGAAGTCTCTATAATCTGAAAAATAAAGGAATGAGCATCTCTTGACATACTAATATTCATTTAATCATTCTTTTCCTTGTAATAGTAACACAAAAGCAAAGAATAAACAATGAAATATAATCTCCCATGAAAAAAGAAAAGAGAAGGCATTGTGATTTTTCCAAAATGTTGATGTGCTTCTTAGATGAAAATACTAGTTTTCTGCATGAGTAAACAAATGCTTATTGGCTATTAGTCTATACATTTTGAATATTATTCAGAACAAGCAATGGTCAGATTTTGTAGAATGTCAAAAGAGTAAAAGTATGGCACAACTGACCAAACCAGAGACCTCTTCATTCTACTGGAAATTTTACTTTTGGTGACTCTGGAAATAAATACACAACTGTGAGAAATGAAATGAGAGAATGATGGTATGTAGCTCTTTCAAGGTTCCCCATCGCTTTCTTCGCCTTTTCAAGATTTGCAAAGGTTCTCCGCTGGAAATCGAACCCGGTCCCTAGCTTAGAACACCAATGCCTTACCACTAGAACACAAACTGAGTTTTGAACAGTGATAGCCACGTGCATCAGTTGGATCCTAGCTTTGAGCATATATATGTATATATTTTTTCAGCTCTCCTGAGCCAAATATCTTTCACATATTTTCTCAAAAAGTCATTGCCAGATTTAACCAAACTTGGTAAAAATAATCTTTAGGCAGAGGGGGGGGGGGGGGGGGGGTGTTTAAAAGTTGTTTAAAAGGTATGTACCCCCTCACTGACAGAAATTGCACATTTTCTTAATCTTGGAAACCTGTGGCTGGATTCTAACCAAAAATGTTTGGAATCACCTGCAGGAAAAGGAGATCTAAAGTTGTTCAAATAAGGTATATGCCCCAAATGGAGCTTGTGGCAGCATCCCCAAAGTGCCCCTATGGCAATAATTAGACATTTAACAACTTTTCCTTAAAAATTCATGTAGTTATTTTGAATTAACTTTATAGGAAGCATTCCTCAAGCAGGGGTTTTATGAAATTTTTATAAAGAGCTACTAACCCTGCAAGGGGAAGGGGCTCGGGAGAAGCACTCCCCCCCCCCCCCCCCCCAAAAAAAAAAAAAATCCCTCTGCTCTACATTTTTGACTTCTCAAAAATGCATGGCCAGATTTTAACCAAAATTTGTAGGAATTGTCTGCAGCATAGATCAGATGGGGTATATCCTCTCAATATCCACCATCCAAACAGCAATGCAAGCATGGCAAATTGATAAAAAAAATGTGCATGCACGTATCTTGAAAAATGCGGATGTTTTTTGTTTTTTTAATTGTTCCTTTTGAATCAAGGATATCTCTTCAAAATGGCTGGTTACCTTCATTATTTATTAATTAGTGTAGATATGATTTTGATTCCAAAATGTTGGTATGGATTCTGGCAAAACATTGTAGGAATCATTTTTTTGTGAAGATGACCTAAATTTGTTAGAATGGGATACCTCCCCCTGCAGGGGACGTGGGATCAGCACCCCTTATATTGCCCTACTGTTCCAATAAATCCTTTGTTCCTGGTGCAAAGGGGTTGGGAGCTATATGTAGGTCCCTTACTGTGAGGCCCCTATTTCATCTGCTCAGAAGAGCATTGGATTCGTGAAACTCTAGTGTATATACATCTATATGAATTCTCTCATTTTTATTTCTCACTATTGTGTATTTAGGTCCAAGTTGAAATACAGGGGTCTAGCGATATGTAGTTGAGTGGTCTAATGACAGGGAAATTATCTGAAAGGATCATCAACGGTAGGCGTAATGTCTATGACGTTTCATAATTATTTGTACTATATTTCACTTTGGATAATTATTAGATATCGTATATTCAATGTCACTTCTTCATGCATTTTAATATTCATGGATAGAGATAGTCTCAAATGACTCAAGAGTAAATGAGAGAGACCTTTGTATTCACAACCACGTCAATTGTGTTGCTATAGGCATCCATTAATTCAACAAATGAGGAGATATTAATTCTTTGATTCACACTGATGTGTTACTCTGATTAAAGGGTGTCGAAAGGGAAACACCATCCAATAATTGAGCATATATGAACTGAGGTTAATTATACAAACAGCATTAAAAACTCTTAGAAATGTTTTTTTGTTTGTTTGTGTGTGTGTGTGTGTGTGTGTGCTTGTGTTTGTATGTTGTAATATGCATGTCTTACCAGAGACATGCTACAGTCTTACTCGTTCGTTCCTACAAAGAATATCAGGGGGTACATCAGCTAGTTAGGAAGATCCTTATTAAGCCAACTGATTGTCTCATCATCGAGCTCACAAAGTCCGGAAGCACTGTGAGGGGATTTGTAGATAGGACAACCATCAATGACATGATCCATAGTTTGGATCTCTCCACTGCAGTTTGGTGATGATTCAGCTCCAATAGCATGAAGGAAATATTGTGTACAGCTAACTCCAGTTCTGATACGGTTGAGGTTGACCCAGGCTTTTCTTGAGAGGTCGCTGCCACTTGGTTTTGCACAGGACTTTGGGATGAACTCCTTCAAGTTGGTAGTGGACGAATTCCACTGGTCTGACCAGCGTTTTGCTATCCAAGTGGGTAAGGTGGAGGGGGGCTTCTCAAGCCGCAGCTCAGCAGCCTGTGTTGTAAAGTGTCTTCTAGGGAGACGTTGTCCTTCAAAGGCAGAGGGGGCAGGAACAAGGCATTTATCTCTGTCATGCTTTTGGGCAAGCTTAGTGAGTGTTCTGCTGATAGTCTCATAGCATCATTGAGGACAGCATCAACCTTGTGTACATGGGTGCTATGGCAGGTGCAGCATACTCAGCGATGGAGAAGGCAAGAGCTAGAGTGGAGGTGCGAAGGGTGGTGAAATCAGCTCCCAATCCGGTCCCAGCAAGCTTCTTCAGTCTTACTACTTTCTTCAGAAAAAAGTTTGGTGCATGCCTGGCAGGGGCGGCAGAGTATCTTTCAGTCCAATGATACAAAAATGGCCATTGCCAGACAATTTAAGTGGTGGGGAGTGACTGCCAGGCGCCCTTTGATGCTAGAAAGATAAATATATAGATTATGGAGAAAAAACCTTGCGGGACTATAAATGTGAACTGCTTATTGTAAGGTTTAAAGAGATAGTACAAGAGATATATAAATGAAGATATTCCTTGCATGCTGTGATGCCTTTTATTATGACATGGACGCAGCCATTTTCTTGGAAATGTGATGTACCAGTTGAAGTTGTACATGTATCATGCACCAAGCTTTAGTTGGAAATAATTTTTAAATCACTAACGAAACCTTTACTTTTCAATGAGGAAAAATCATAACTGAGAAGATATATATCATATTTGGTGAAAAATAAATAACAGGGGAACAAATGTAACTAAATTCATTTATAAATACTACACTTTAGTAGTTGACAAATCTATTTCATTTACAGGCGCGGTTCCAGGATTCTCCAATGGGGGGGGGGGGGGGGGGGGGGGGGGGGGGGGGCCGGAATTTGAAAATTGCGCAGACCATTTTTTCAACTCAACATACTAATACTGACAAGGTCATATTAGAAGCACCATACCGGTACAATTTCTGATATTTCATGGGGGGGGGGGGGCTATAGCCTTTTGCCCGAAAAAAGTAATTTTCTGGTTTCACAATTTGGCAAGTGAGCGAGACGAGCGACCAAAAATTTGAAATTTGATATTCATGAAATTATTAGACAAAGAAGAGGATTCGTTGTACCATTCTCAAGTTTTAATCCTTGTCTAGTGAGCACAATTATATATGCATTCTAGAAAATCCCTAAGCCCAATACGTACGTTCTTTCCGCTATATTTCTTGCTAGCTATATTTCTATATTTCCTGGGGGACGTGTCCCCATATCGGCCCAGGATTGCCGCCCCTGTCGATGATTACAACCAACACGAGTTCAAATACAGGCACACGCGAGTTGGTATGAGCTGAATCCAAATGAAGGGCAAAATAAGAGTTGTGAAGCGGCCCTACCGTTAATTTAAAATGTGACTGTTGAGTATACTGCTATTTAAAAGACGTCCAAAATATTGTGCCCTTTTCAAATTTCTCACAAAAGAGTGATTAACTTTGTAGCGCAGGGACTGTTTTTAACGTTTAACTTTGAATCCGCGGCTCGAGATTTTATCCCGCCCCCCCCCCCCCCCCACTCCGAGGACGAACGGACCCCATGCGTGTTACCAAAATGTCCTTTCGTAACAAAAGAAAAAAGTCGACCCGCGCGTATTGACTTTACACACCGGACTTTTGTTGAAAAGGGGGGAGGGGTGCTGAAGAAGGCTCGTATAACAAAAGAAAAAGGTCGATCCGTATTGACTTTACACACCGGACTTTTGCTGAAAAAGGGGGGGGGGGTCGCTTGGAACACGCATATGCGTACCCTAAATAACACTGAGTGGGGGGGGGGGGGGATTTTATGCGGTAGGCCCGGCCGCGAATTTTTTTTCCCAAACAGGTTTGCCAATGCTAATATATCCGGTCATCCGATCTGATTGGCTCATATGTTACGTTATTACCGTTAGGGTGAGTGATAGGGTTATAGAAATCATGCAGAATCACTTTTCATCAACCCATTGTTGGCTCAATCGGTAAGGACAGCGTGTTACTAATGGCACTTTGAAGTCGACTTGAGGGTTCAAATCTCAGTTTATTCAGTTTTTAGCCTTTATAGGCAAAGCAATAAATAATCAGAGTCTTATTGTTTGTGACCCGATCTTTCCAAGCTGCTAATGACGTAGAACATATCAGCCAATCAAAAGAACGGAAATATAAGAAATTAATTGCCATCCTGTTTGGGAATAACAAATTCGCGGCCAGGCCCCCTCTATTCAATAACGTTTGCCAAGCCTAATTCTGGAATCACCTCCACATCTCCCGATTCCAGTTTTTCCCTTATTCGTAGTTACTGTCACTTAGCGCCATTTAGCGCCATTTGGTCACAACCAACTGTGCGTGTTTTTAGTCCGTACGGTTTTAGGAGGTCACAGCCTCCACGTTTTTCTGAAAACGTATAGAAGGGAGTGGCAAAGGCAGGGAGGGAGTACCGACGACGCCCACCCCCCCCCCCCCACTCCGGGGTCAGAATGACGTGCGTGTTACCAAAATGTCCGGTAAAGGGGTACTTTTCACGCACCAAAGTCCGGCTCGTAGTACACAAAATTGACTATACACACCGGACTTAGGGGGTGTTTTCAAAAGGAGGGAACACGCATGTGCGTACCCTAAACAACACTGAGTGGGAGGGGGGGGGGCAACGCACGTCAAACGCATGGTGTAAGTATGTGGCCCGCACGCCACCCCTGGCCGTGAGCGGTTGCGTGCATCGTACGTTGCGCATGTGGTGAGTGCGTTGTACGTGCTTACAACGTACGGTCTCCGTGCGGTTGCCACGTTATCGTACGGAGGCCGTACTTGCACGTGCTGCTTACGTACGGTGTCCTTACTATGACGTTGTAAGTACGTGCACGTGCGATGAACTCGGTGAGTTTTTCCGCCCGATGTCGGGGTATGACGACATTCCAACGTTCTCAGAGGTCCAGATGCCGCCCATTCCACCGCAGAGACTATGGGTGCGTTTAATCGACACTTTTTCACCCTAGAATCACGGTTTTCAAAGACGTTTAGTTTAAAACACAATTCGTTCAAGCGATTTTTTTTCGTCGGTCGTAAAAATAAACGTGTTTAAAAACACAAACATGAAACGCTGAAAAAGATGCGTTTTGTATCATGATTCTGCAGAATCACGGTCGCCAAAATTCGATTGAACGAACGTAGTCTCAAACACGATTCTATCGTGGCCTGATCCGGTTTGGGCACAAACCGCGCGCCTGCATGCTTTTCATGCAATTTGCGTTCACTATACCATGCTCTTTATCGTTCCCTGTTCCGTTATGTTATTCCTTGTTTTCCTTCTATCACTTTCTCTTTCTGTCTTTTCTTATGTTATTCTTTGTTTCTTACTTCTATTTTATGTTGTTTTTTCCTTCTATCACCTTTTCTTATGTTATTCTTTGTTTTTATAATTCTATCACTTTCTCTTTTGTTATTCTTTGTTTCTTCCTTCTATTCTTATGTTATTCCTAATTGTTTTTCCTTCTATCACCTTTCCTTATGCTATTCTTTGTTTCTTCCTTCTATTCTAATGTTATTCCTTGTTTTTTCCTTCTATCACCTTGTTTCTTTTTTATAACGGCGTTTTGATTTGTGATTCATGTTTGTGATTCTAGCTTCGAAAAATCGATTGAACGCACCCCTATATACTGCATAAATCAGTGCGCACAACGTGCGTTTAAGTGCGGAGCACGTGCTTACTCTGCACGGTCCACGTGAGTTAATATTCTGCGTGCTCATTGGACAGTTGAACTTGGGATGTGGCGAGTAAGCACGGACCACGCACTTATCAAGTGCCCAGCACTCACGTGCTAAGTGCGCCTTCCGTAGAGCAAATTAGTGACCGTGGGAAACAAATTTAAAAGACACACGGAGTCAGTGCGTTGTGCGCTCGTTGGCAGTACAGGGCACGCACGTCACACGCACTGGGGTGAATCGGTAGCCCGACCGCAGCCCGAACGCAGCGAAAGTTCCTCGTGTACTAAAAGTGCTACGGTGTTTCTGCGTGCTCCCTAATCCGTACGGAGGCGGTACTCACCACGTACGGATACCCAAATTTTGCCGACGTTTTGCACGTAGACAGCACGCGCTTGCAAGTACGGCGGGTTGTGACCATCGCATTGCTTGTCTTTCTCCCTTTCTCACCCGACTTTTCTTTCCGTTCCGTTCCGGCCCCCCTGGATCCGCCACTGATTGATGCAAAACCTTCACCCCAGAAGAATATCAACTTATTTATGCAATTTGCGTTCTTGAAATACTACAAAGGATAATAGCAGGTGAATAAAAAATAATGCTTCATCACCACACACGTCTGGGAAGGAAGCATCCATCGTGGTCGAGTGGTTTAAGGCGCTTGACTGTAGATGCGAAGGTCGAGGGTTCGAATCCCGACACGTACGGCACTGATTTTCTTTGGCAAGATATTTACCTTAACTTGCTAGTCTCCACCCAGGTGTTAAATGGGTACCCGGTAGGATGCGAACGTTAATGTGG